GAAATATGGATTGAACATTTATGGTAGAAATGTAAATATTTGTGGTAGTAAGATCAATATTGAGACTAGGAATATGAATAGTCAGAGTAGGAATGTGAATAACATTATATGAAACAAAGTGTTAATGAATATTTTAACCAATGCCGCCCTCCCCAACTATTTTAGGAATAATTCAGGTAGGAATAGTGAATGTTGAAGACGGCAAAAATATTTCCCCATCCACTTTCAAATAGGTTTTTATGTCAATGACCGAAGTCGATAGCGTGGTTTATATATATATAGCACCAACTAAAACAAATTTAAGGAAATGTTGGAAAAATTAAGCGCCCACACAGACCGGCTGTTCATATTTACCTATAGTACTTAACACAAGTGTACACATCTGGCCTAAAGACCGCGTCGTGATCCGTTTGTATAGCCTTTTCCAAACTATTAACTCCGCTTTAATTTTACAAATAGACAAGGACATTTTGTCAAAATTCATGAATAACGGTGCCAAGAAGTTACTCCTGTATGCTGAATTGAAATTTCGATGCAATCGATACATAAACCATGTTAACTTAATAATTACGGCTACCGGTATTAACATCATGTGTTACATGAGTAAAAGTAGGCAACTCGACTGACTCGGGCACCGGTTGTATAAAATATCTAATTAATACATTTTAACTGCCCATTTTGTAGTAAAATATTGGCAAGTGAGTTAAGAGGGCTTAGTTTCAGCATTGGAAAGTTTAAGGCTATTTGAGCAACGTTTTGGGCCAATGGGGGAATATAATTGGGGGAATGTTTTGTTTCTAAAAACAGAACCACATAATTGATTTTCAAGGAGTTGTATAATACAAACTTTGCTCAATTAATTCCAGCCTACGCTAATCCCCGCAAACAGTGTTTTATATACACAATGTTGAACAAAGTAAATAACATAATGATGATTGTTAAAAAAAATTATAGACCAAAATTGATCACATGGAAAGTGTTTGAGGAAATCAGCTGCCGCGCCAAAGTGACGCCACTTTAAAATAGAATAGCCAAGTAAACCATTTACTAAGTGCATTTTGAGATTATAATCAGTAGTCAATACTATATATAGAGTTCGTCTCGGCTTCGGTTTAACCGAATCCTACGCTTGTTCGTAGTATTCTGTCGACTTCTCCTACGCTCAATAACTCGATTGAGTTTGTTAAATTATCAAAAAAATGTTGATTCAAACGAAAAATTTTAGTAAACAAAGAACTTTTTCTCATTGCTTATTCAGAACCGCTTATGAGTTAAAACGAATGTTGAATTAACAATTGACGTGTTTTATAACGGAAAATCACAAGCAAGAGCGCTTGCCAGATACTTCTCAGGGGTTAATTACCACATCAAAACATAACAACTATAGCAAGGACTTTTTGAAGAATTGGTCAGTGGGGGTGGGGTGGGGGTATGAACAGAAAGGGACCACACTAAAATTAGTGTGGATGGATAACAGTTAGTGATAAAAAGTTTCATGTGGAGTCCCATGCTATAGTATGGGGGTCAGGAACATTCTGGAACAGAGTTGGATATACATCATTACTTTATATTTTAGGTGGACTGCATGAATCTTCAGTTAAGTAATCACATGGTATGTTTATGTAAATACCACAACTCAGTCACTAACTTGTTTGGCCTTGCCTTCCAACAACGCAAATGTATCAGGTCTGGGATATGGCATCGTCTGGGAAATTTTTAAAATCAAAGGTATTTTAAAATCAAAGGTAAAAAGACATAATGACAAAAGACATGACATTAGATTCACAAAGAAACATTCAATTACTAGAATATATCAAACCTCCCTTCTAAATTCCATTTTTCGTCCAATATTTTGTTCATATTTTGGAGGAAAGAGACCTTGGCTGTACGTGCGTGCGGCGTGCGTGCGTGCGTGCGTGCGTGCGTGCGTGCGTGCGTGCGTGCGTGTGAGTGAGTGAGTGGGTGGGTGATGTTGGGGGTAGCAAGAAGGCTGATTGGGGCATCAGGGGGGGAGGGTTTGGCCAAGAGGGAAGGGAGGTTTGGCCAATGGGGGGGTGGGGAGGGTTTGGCGGTTTTGCGTTTTGACCAAGCATGAATTGAAATAAAGAAAGATCTTGGAATAATAATGGACGAATGTCTCTCTTTTACCGATCATACCCAGAATCTTACATCTAAACTTATGGGATCATTGTGTCAGATCAGCCGAGTTCAACACTTATTAGTCGCTGGGCAGAGCCCGCAGCGACTCTAGGTTTCGGCACGCATTTGTGTCGGATCTTGGATCGTTAGCCACAAAATGACAATTACGTCATTAATAAAAAATAAAAATTACGTCATTACTATTCGTCGCTGAATTCAAGATGGCCGCTTACTGCGAGCGAATGGTATCATCGATTTTGTACATATTTTTTTTATTTTTCCGATGAACCTTAAAAGTTTTCCGATGAAACAGACTTTATAAAGCGAAAGTCATTTTATGTGAGTAAACTTGGAAGGCTACAAGCTTGAAATAGAGGACAAAAGTTCACAATTTTCAATTTTACAAAGTTGGAACGGGCTGCAACCTTTTTAAATCGCAACAATAATATTCGCAAACTGCTGTTTATTTGGGTGCTTTTTTTACGGCTGTTGATGCAAATAATCCTGTTACGGATAGGTGGTCAAAAGAACATGGTGTAGCCTAACAAGACCGAAATACAACCACAGTGATCACCATTCATCGCTACTTGTGTGAAATTTAAACTTTGCCGCTAGGTGTCAGGCTTTTAAATCTGTAATATTTCAGTCATTTTATGATCAATGTATTGTGTTTCTAACGCCGAACGGGAAAATGTTGGAGTCACAGTAATAGACTCTTTCAAGGTCAAGATGTCATAATGAAACACAAAGTGTAACTGTGTAAGGGCTGCAAACACAATGGAAATTCCTGCTAGTAAATTTGCAAGGTTGTATAAACATGCACAATGGTGAAAACAATGTATTGAAATTAAGTAGGGGGGGGGGGGGGCAATGCAACTCAATGGGTTATTAAAAGTAACTAGCGTGTCAGGCTCTATGCTTGAAATAAAGCCTGCTACTGAGGTCAGTAAAAAGGATTGATGCACATGATTTGTACGCAAAATTCCCATTGGTCAGAAATAAATAGCTTTGTTTTTAAGGTAATGTCAAATTGTTGTTTATGTAATGATATTCCGTACTTGTAATTGTACTTTAACTACTTTTGGCCATGTTAATGACTGCCTTTGCCGCAGTCAATAACAATTATTATTATTATTTAATATGTAATTCCTGGCCATTCGATGAAAATTGGAATATTTAGTTTTGAGATATTAGTGGAAAAGTTGGCCGTTATTGTCATATTTTAAATTAGCTTTGATAATCTAATGTATCAATTAATTCCAGCAGTTCCCACCCCTGGGCCTTTGCAGCTTTCCCTAATAACGGGGGTGGGGCTATTGCCGATATTTTTTAGCCCTGGGGTGAGGATTTTGACATTTTCCATCATGGGGGATTTCGTAGATTTGCTGGAAAACTGATATTTAATTTGATTGCAAATGGCTTGTGGACATAGCCATTTTCTTCCCAGAAATGGCTAATACCTCGGGGAGATGGGCACTGCTGGAATTGACTGATACGTGATTAACAATCGCCATTTTGATTGGTTGTTATTTTTGTGCATCCCAATCACTGTCCTCTTTTTATTGACTTCAGTAACAGGCTTACCCTGTGGGCAAAGTCCTCTCGTATTTCTTCTCAGCACGAGAGAGACTCTGCAGAACTTGTGTATATTCTTTGTGGAGCCGACAATCCAAAAACTTGGATAATTATGAGTAATTTCAGGTTTGATACCAGTTTTATAACCGGTTTTGATCCGAACCGGAAACTACTTATTAAATCTTCTTCTGGGAAATAGGCAGTTGCTTAGCAACCTTCGCGCATGCTCAAATGAATTTATACACAAGTTCTGCAGAGTCTCTCTCGCTTCTCCGTGCCGTGCCGAGAAGAAATACGAGAGGACTTTGCTCACAGGGTATAACAGGCTCTATTTCAAGCATCGAGCCTGACACGCAAGCTACCTTCAAAGGGCCTATTTGGCAACTTCTGTTGTGGTTACCCAGCCTGAGGCAAAAGTAATAAATTATGAATTGTTATAAATGTTCTGTGAAGTGCACATATTTTTCCTGCAGTTAGGGACCAGTCCTTATTTATGGAGAGGGAGGGGGAGGCAAAAGGTGGGGCCATGACCCCATGAGTATAAATAATTTACTAGAAGGGGGGGGTGGCATTAAATTTTTTGAGAAAATCAGTTGAAGGGTCAAAATGTGGAGTTGCAATAAATTTGTTTAAGCCTGGTTTCCAGTGTCCTCGAAGTTGGCCTAAGCCAGATAAATCCAATAAATGATATCAACCTCATACCCAGGGCTTCTGCGCTTATACACTGCTCTCAGAAGAAAGAGCAATAAGCGCAGAAGCCCTGCGCAGAAGACCTTATTTTAATAGCCCCAGCGACTAAACGCTCAACAGAGCGTCTTG